AAAGGTCCGAAACTACTTTGTTTTATCAAAATATAAAAATCTTATTCTGACCCAACACCATAGAATCAGGCATTAGGCTGCAGCCGACCCTTAAACATGAGCATTTTCCCTTTCCACGAAAAAGTAAACAAAAAAACACCTTCGAAATATCTTATCCTGATCTTAAGATAACAATCTGTAAAGAATCATCTTTCTAACAATTTTTTTTTTCTCTTTTTTTTTTTGAAATTTTATTTTTATATCCTCTGAGGCAAAGAAAGCAGAGGAAACCAAAGTCCATCACAACGCCCTGTGGCTACGAAAAAGAATGTTTTTGGGGCCACTTTTAGAGTATCTTCATAGTGCCAAGATCTGACAGAATGAAGCATTTATATGTCATTTCTCAAGCATACATAACCTTGAGTTTCATTCATAGCGGTAGTTTGCTTCACCAAAAGGGCATAAAGAAAGAAAGCTCATGATCGATTTTGTGATGATGTCCTCTCGGATCCATGCCTTGGACGGAAGCTGCTTGATCTGATGCCACTGCTGGAATCAGAAACACTAGCAACTTGATGAAAACTCCACCCTGATTCTCTATCGACTGGATTTATTGAAAATGAAGACAAGTGATTTCTCTCCCGTGCATGAAAACGGGCTGGCAGAGGGTTTTCTGCCTCTGAGTTAAGACCCGGTGTACCTGACGGAATGATGTAGAACCTTCCTGCTTGGTCTGATGTAGAGGCTACTGGTCCTGCTTGACCCATACCTCTATGACTGTTGGCCCTTCGGGAACCAGAGATAACGGATGTGCGAATGGCTGGTGGACTGCTAGGTTGTTGCTGTTGATAGTATGCTTGGAGTGCTTGAATTCTATCACGGGCTCGAGCATTGCTCCCAGGGTATGGGGGGATCATGGCGGAAGGAACTGAACTTCCTGCTCTTGCGCCAGAACTGTGGAAATAACAGGTCTCAAAATGTCAAATAAAACATTTAAAAAATGAAAATTAAGCAAGGACACATCACTGTACTTAGAAAAGGCAATTATAACAGCCATATTTTCATCAGAATAACTGTGACAATATTTAAAACTGCAGATAACATCATTGCAACATACATCCAAGTCCAAACTGGGCTCTTACTGCCTCAAACTTTCATTCAAGCATGGGAACATCAATGGACTCCCTAACTTCATTTCATTTGGGTAGAGGAAACAGGAGGGGAGGGAATAAGGGGGGAGAGCAGAGTACAGATGGTCTTACCATTCAATGGAAATTGCAGTTAAAACAAATGGAAGAAGAAAGATAATTCAAGGTCGATGCCAAACAATTCAAGTAATACCTGTGACTGACAAGAAATGGATGCATAAAAGCTCCTGATCTTGGTATATCAGAACTTGTCCTTGTTGACCTTTGATTGACACTTGGCATTGAAGGCTGATCGGCATTACCTAACCGGCTATTGGATGTGGAGAAAGGAGTAGAATCCCAACTACGATAATGCAAATCCATAGCAGGAAAAGCATAGGAAGTTGGTACCTCACTAGGTACTGATGGACCATTCCAATAACTGTTAAAATTTGAACTGTCTGAAACACTGCCATTGGAATTTGAGGATGAGGGATGGATTGGTCCCAAGTAAGCTATATAAGGACATGGATGAGATGCAGATGATACTGCTGAATGTTCAGCAAAGATAGCATTATGTCCCACTAAATCCTGATCTGCATTGCAACATAACTCCTATCAAGAAATGACGCCAGGGTACCACAGTGCAAAAACCAATTCAGGAAATCTTTGGATTAGCAAAAGAGAAAAATCTTACATGCAGTTGATGAAAGCTCAACCTCCCTGCGAAAAATAGAAAACATGAGAAGTTGAAAAAAGAAAAGAAAAGAAAAGAAAAGAAAAGAGAAAAAAAAATTATATATATATATATAGACATATAGAGAGAGAGTAGTGATCCACTTATACACAAGTCTTACATACCACATTTACACAAAATCTCAACCATTCATCTCTCCACTTTCAATGGTTGAGATTTATTCATATTTATTAAAGATAATTACTGTTTTCATCCAAAAAGTCATAACCATTGAAAGTGGAGAGATGAATAGTTGAGATAGTGTGTAAGACTTGTGTGTAAATCGATCCCTACTCTCTCTCTCTCTCTCTCTATATATATATATATATATCAAATTCATTACTAAAAAGAAAAAAGAAATCAAATTCAGTAAGATAACAAGAACAACCAAGCAAACAAACTATGATGTGTGTGTGTGTGTGTGTGTGTGTGCTCAAAATCCAAACTTCAAAACAATATAATCCAGATACTGCTTAAAGGAGTTAGGTATAGACACTCCTTTTGCTTAATTTATTTAATGTTTTTTTGGAGAAAAGGAATTCAAGCTAACAAACTATTTCTAAGTTCAGGAATCTATTCTGAGGAATATTTGCCTTCCCTTTCATCCATATTCTGCATCAACTTATTCACTGAATGGTACAGGACAGGATATTACAAAACTAGAAAAAGTGCAAAAACACAAAGACAAGCAAACCTTTGATATGAAGAAAAAGATGTTAATTGCCATATCTCAGCATGCAAGATTAGATATTGAAGAAGAAAACTTTGTTATTTATGCCCTTTTTATCATGATGGAGGGAAAAACTGAAATATTTAGATTATAAAGTGGTGTGGCATATCATGCTTACTCAAAAGACGAAGGCAGTCGCGTTAAGCTACCAAATGGACACCATTGTACACCAAATGACTGCAATGACCATGTAATAACCACATTAAATAGGAATCAGCAAGTAGATTACAATTCAACAAGAGTATGTACAAACAAATAGAAAGCCAATAAATGCAAACAAGAAAATCACTGATTTCTACAAAAGAAGCATGCATACTTGACTAAGACATCTTCTTAGCTAAGTTTCAGGTCTTTGTATCATTGCTTTTCTTAGGCGTTCATTAATTTTGCCCTTATATGTTTTAGTTTACAGTCTTCTATAATAAAGCAGTTTTATTCTACAAAATGAAAAAAGAGCTTACCCCTCATGATGCCATAACATGCTTAGGTTCTCATTTGCAACATTAGAATGATTATGTAAAAAACTCCAGCAAGACAATAAATCTGGCAGAAACTGAATGGATAGCAAGACATAAAATTGAAATAAGCACAAGAAAATTAAAGATTTATTTTTCCTATTGTTTTTTCTTGTTAAGGATTAAAAGGTTTAATATATCAGAATGCAATAAATTTAAAGGGAAAATGAATGAGGCAACAAAATCTTTTTGAAAATGCCACAAACTAGGAACTGCACAATAAAGATTTTATTGTAGAAATTTTGCTTCTTTACCATTTCAGTGTAATTCAGATCATACAGGTCCTCATCATGTGCCCAGTCATCCATGCTAAATTCTGGAAGTGAACGGCAACCATTGGCATAAAGCCATTGACCTTTCTCAATTCTCCTACAATTAGGACACTGCATTGCACCCTTTATATTGAAAGCTGAACCAATGCAATCTGAACAGAATCATAATAAAAATAATCAAATTATAGAAAATAAAAATTGAAAAAAAAATCATTTTCTTATTAGTAAAAGATGTATCAAAAGTAAACCAAAGGGGAAAAAAAATCTGGGAAACAAAATATGTATATTTCCACTCTCCCCTTGGATAAGTAACAAAATTGTAGAACTTATATCAACAGTCAACAAGCAATAACAGCATATAATATCAGAGAAATATGCATCAACAGTGGCAGAAAAGGAGCTCTGCTTGGTAACAGGGGGTGTCCAGCCAACATCAGAAGGGGGGGAAAAGGAGATCAAGATACACTGGAAGTAAAACACTGATTTAGACAAAAGAAGCATACATCTATTCAAATTGGAAGTTTGGAGCATAAGACAACTTTAAGTTCTCAGAAAATGAAAAACAATACCAATAGGACAGTGGCAATGATAAAGACCAACCAACTCGACAATTTTTTTTACACCATCTGCACTGCAATGGTCTAAATGTAATGCACTAATGATATATAAGGCATTTTGATTTACTGCTGACTTTTTAAAGGCCATGATAAAGAAAATGCACATCACAAAACCATGTTTTAATGATATTTCTCCAAGCAAAGACAAAGATTAATGACAGAGGAATACATTCAGCTTTTGCAGTACAATATGTAAGTCCATTTTATTCCTACCTCACTACAATTCTAGTACGATTATAAACTACAGTTATTGTGAGCAACCTAATCTTCTCAAGGTCAAGACCTAAAGCTAACAACCGATAAGCCATGGCATAGCAAGATAGAATAAGTAAACTAACCACCTATGAACTTATAAAACTCATTTCAGAGTTCAGACAATCATTTCTTAGCCCATTCCCAAGTGTACACAATCAAATATTCACGTAAAGCTTAATATCACATCTACTAATCCTCTTCCTTCACTTACCTGCAGGCCTGGTGTCCTCTCCCAAGCTTCAGCTGACAAACATACAAATGACTAACATGTACCTATATGAAAGTAATCTGACACAAACAGAGTAGAAATAAGAATATCTCTTAACAGTTTTCATTGTGGTCGGCCCCCAGAAACTAATTGCATCTACTACATCGTAACAATCAAATCAGCAAACGCGTTAAAGAGAAAGAACAATTGAAGCAAACAAATCACAAAATGAAGATCTCTACATATCCTTTTAAAACATATAATCTAAGTTTGGATTAGATGGAGCCCAATATAGCCATTTATTCCTTTTAGAGCTTAAAGTTTCATTTTTTGTCAGTACCAATAAAGCACAAGGATTGAAATTCAAGAAAATGAGAAAGAAATTAAAATGAAATATTCATAACTACCATGCTTGTGTCATCCATTGAACCTAGCACCCACCATCAAAGTAGCCACTATTGAGCATAAACAACACATAAAATGACCAAAATTAACTCCAGATCTCAGCACATCCATTTCAGACATAACGATTTACGTCAAGAATTAGTTCCAAATCTTCCTAATCTCACTTACCCAGATGAAATTGGTGACCACATTGAAGCTTAGCCCAGGATCGATCCCCATTATCGGTAACCGTCTCTAGGCAAATCGAACAAGAAACCGAACCAAAAGACTTGCCCGCATTTCCACAGTCGGCATCATCGCCCCCTCCATCCCCATCATCAACCACTAAATCATCCCCATCGTTAATCCCCAACCCCATAATTACCCAATTAAATTAACACCCAGAAGGGTTCAAAGCCCTACTTCCCAATAAACGACACCTTTACAATCTCCCTCTGCTTGTTCCCTTTCCAGCAATTATCAACACGAGGTTTGATCGGAACCGACGGAAGTCGCAGAAAAAGAACCGACAGGTCACCGAAAAATCTATGAATACCCTTTTAAGCAGTGAGGATCGGAGAAGTAAATGAGGGACAATTAGCCACAGATTGAGAAAAAAAAGGGAGAATGGAGATGAAGATCAAGAAAAAATCTGTCCTTTGGTTCTGTGTCTCTGTGGCCTTTCTTTCTCTTTCTTCGAAGAAAATTGGGGACCGTTTGATTTTGGGGGGGGGTTAGATTACTGTTACGAGGCGAAATAACCGCTGTCCAAAATGGGAGTGCTGGACGACTCAGATTGATTATGGTTGTTGAATGTCATGAGTAATCACCCAACTTTGTTAAAACCGACATTTTCGTCACTCAATTCAGTAAGCTTAACAAAGTGGTGGCCTAAACTAAACAAGATCAAAATATGCATTAACAAAATGTCAAAATGGGTCACCTAACTTTTTTAAGTTGTATCTACCTTACTCATCTGATCGTTTAGACTAATGAAAATATCAAATTTGATTTAAGAAGTTAGATTATTGGTTGTTTGGAGAAGAAGCTAACAATCTTTATTTAGTCTAAAATTATAGTTTTTAGTCTAAAATTATGGTCATTATTATTTTGTTGGTGAAGCCTCGCTTACAAAAGAAAAAAAAAAAAACTTGTAATATTCAATGTCATTTTGACCATTTAATTAAGAGTCATGGGATAGGATAATATTTACACACAGCAAGATTCATCAATTAATAATGAAAATAACAGTTATATTTTAGTTTAACTTAAAATTATACATCTTAATTTCATAGTTTTAAATAGTTTTAAAACAACATATCCTAAATCAAGGTCTTCAAGTTTAACTCCTTCACCACGAAAGTTCAATCACTAAATTTTAAAATGGTGTTACATTTTTGTTGATTTAAGTAGCGAGTGGCTAATAAATGGATAGTTTAAAACGTTAGATCACAATTTTGTTAGCATTATGATTTAAATGATCAAAAGGTTAATTCTATAAAGTAGGTGAGTAAAATATTAATTTTGAAAAACTTGGGTGATCCTCAAGTTTTTTCTTTACCCATTATCTTAGTTGGGATTTTGGTATTTACCCCAATGAAAAAGTGCTTTTAAGCCCTAATTGCATCGAAAAAACTAGCAATTAGATTGAGGGCGGCGTGACAGCAAGAGTCTCTTCCATTTAATACTTATTATTTTATAAATAAATATAATATAAATTATAAAATATTAAATTTTTATTATAAATTTTAGGGTATATTTCATCGAATTTGATTTTTTTTTAATAAAAGGATAAGGTGTGACTAAACTCCTATTACCTTTTAAAAACATCTTTTAATCTTGTAAAAGTTGTTTGTCACTTTCAAAATGTTAGAAGTTAAAGCTAAAATATGTAATCTTAAGTAACAATTTTTATTTCTTAAATTTTAAAAAAATATTTTATATGAGTTAAAATTTAACATTTTTGCGAAAACTTTTTACAAAGATTAGAGTTAATTCAAACATCCTTTTTTAATTGACAAAATTGAATAATAGAAATTTAAAAATACATTTAATATGTTTTTCAAATTTAATATAAAAAATAGTTACAGACAATGCAAATATATCAAAACTAAAAGACTAATGAAGAATTATATGTTGGTAATTGTTTTAAACAAATCCGCTGGTAAATAATATAGTGAGGAGTCCCTTTTCAAATGTCAATGTAACATTGGTTTAATGGTGCTTAGATTCTAAGTTTAAATTTTATTTTATGCAACTTAATGTTCGGGTCATAATTTGTGATTTATTTAAATTGATTGTATTATGATGTCTTAATTATTTTTTTATTTAATATCAATCTAATTGATTTTTTTATTTAATATCAATCTAGTTGATTAGTTGACATTCTGCATATTCATTAGGAGGACTGTAAATGACACTCGTACTCCGCTAAATAAAGTCTCCATGGCAAATGGGTGGGAGACGAAGGAATTGTGGGTTGAGTTGTCCTTGGTCATAGGTATCGCGAATGAGTGCAATTTGGGTTGTGGGGCTACAAGGGACAGAATCTGACCCACCCTCCCAGCACAATTTAAATATCCTTCTTTATATTTTGAATTTTAACTCATTAAAATTCGATTTGAATCTCATCTTTTTTACCTCCAGTTCCAAATTTTAGATTTTCGAGCCTTCGACAGCATTCAAGGGCATTCTTTCTCTTTGGTTTTGCAGCCCTCTTTAGAACTCAAGGATAAAGAGGCACAAGCGTATAGAGCAGATCATGTTCAAGTAAGGTGGTCTTTTGGTTTTCAAGTAAGATATTATATTTTTGAAAAAATTAATTTAAATAATAAATAATTGGTAGTTGATATTTAATAATTAATAATTATTAATATTTATAAATTAAAATATTTAATTTATTTAATTAAAATCAACCACTAATAACCATTTTTAATAAATCAAATAAACACTCCTTAAAATTCTATTTCATTATGTATTATAACTATTCTTCTTGTGAAAATTGGACGTGTCAACCCAGATGTCCAAATTTTCATCACACGTCGCTTAGGCCACTTTGATTTTTCTCATTTCTTTTGGAGTTTTGTGATGCTACTTTATCCGTACCCATTGCCAATGATTCTTTGTACGTAAAATTAAAGATTACGTAAGAAAAAATAATTCTCCTCTTTCTCAATCCTAAATTTGTATTTTGATAATTCTTCTCACACAAACTTAGAAACAGTCATTACAATTGCAACAAATCAGGCAGCTCTCTTCGATCCAAGTCTTTTTTTTAGGTTAATTTGCAAAACTCTAAGGTGGACCTTTGATGTAGATATTTCAATATTTAAATCAATAATAATATGATCTACCTTTAAGAATTATGAAAATAAAAATAAAAATTTTAAGTCGATTTTAATTATCTTTTTAAGATAATCCCTAAAATATTTATAGGGCTTAATAATGTATCTACGTAATTTATTTAACAAGATAATCGAAATATGATATATCCATTTAAGCGATGATCTTAAAATAGAGGATTGAGTGCAAACATATCTGCTGTAGCAATTATGCAACTGTATGATAAAAAAAAAACTAAACTTACAAGTTATTTAGTCATTAAAAAAATGTAATAGTACATATGAGGCCCTTAACTTAGCACCTATCCTTGCCGTCATTGAACTTTATCAGAGAGAATGTCTGGGACGATTTGAGTTTGAGTTCCAGCCTCTCCTTCCACCCTACCCCTATGAACAATGTAAATAATTATCTTTGTTTAAAAAAAAAATTTGTATTTAAGGTTTCATTTTGGTAATGTAATTTGGCCCATTGGGGATTGGCGGCCCTTTGATATTTTGGAGTCAAATTTGTTGGCATCTACCATTCAACAGGTCAAAATTCTACACTGCGTCTTTTCTAATCCAAATCCACTAGGTGAAAGCTGTCCCAGTGAGAATATGTCTCCACGCAATGGATATTCTCTGCCCCCACTGCCAGTCTGCCACTATACTTTAATCTCTCTCTTTTCTTTTCTTTTTTCTTTTTTTATTTTTTTTTATTTTTTATCTTTTGCTATATAATTTGTACTTTTATCTTTTCACCCTATATTAATTTTTTCTTTGAAAAATTCAGTACCATAAAAATTAATATTTTTCATTAGCACCATATATTAACATAAAAAATGTTTTTGAGGTTGATTTATATAATAAAAATGTAACAATATTTATGAAATTATTTAAATAAACTTAATTTACTTTTTCTTTTGATTCATTAAAAATATTTAATTAATTTCATATTCCTACGTCTTTTTTTCTTACAAATTGACCTAATGAAAATCCGCAATCTCTACTAACATTGTACTGAGATTAAAAAAACTTCCATTCAACGGCTTTGGAGATTTCGAGTCCATTAATTCAAAAGTTTTCTATAAAAACAAGTTCTTAAACCCGTTATGTAACTTATTTATCAACCTATTTTCTCCACACAGAAAAACATTGTTTGATGGGATTTGGGGCAAGTTGTTAACCTTCAAACACCGCTATGAACTCAGGTTCCCCACCCCCATCTCTCAGGAATTATCTTGAAAATGAAATGATTAAATGAGGCTGGACTTAATGTGCTGGTGAGATAAATTCCATTGCAATGAAACACATAGAATTGTGATTTTTTGACAATTAGAAAATAAAGATTCAAAAATGATTTTTTTTTTTGAAGGGTGGAAATTAAATGGAGCAGGGAAATTAAATGTGTGATGTAACCCAAAAATCAAGATAGTATTTGCATTTTGCATTCTTCATATATAAACAACTCAATCAAAAATCAATTCAATTGATGGTAGCAGTAATTATGCAATGTTAAGAGCACATTATACATTATTTTATTAAGAAAGTAATTACGGTAGAAATGTGGTTTTGTGCTCTTTGACCCTATTTCGGTAGCATTATTTTTATGCTAGCATTATTTTTATGCTAGGCATAAATTAATAGATTATTTTATTTTATAATACAAATTATATAATATTATAAAATATAAATTATTAGATAAAAAACATTGACACAGCCAAGGGATTAAGAGGCACAAGTCTGCTAAACTTTTGCAAAAATATTTAATTTAGTCCCTTATATTTTATTTTTATCACTTTTATTTGCACTTATTTCGTGACATTTTAATCAAAAAGAGAAAGATGGGGAAGATAAAGATAATATAAAAATATAAATAAAAGTAAAAAAATTAATTAAATGAAAATGATTTACTATCACTTTTCATCTTTACTTTATTTTTTTATTCATAATACTCTTTCTCATTTTTAATATACTTAGTTTGAATTTTTGATTTTTAATATATGGATTTTGAATGAAAATTTAGCAATTTATATGAACAATAATTAAAATTTCTTTTATCCTTATATATAGTTCTCATTAAGTATTTTTATTTGATTAAAATTTTTTTAATTATTATTCATATAAATTATTAAATTTTCATTGAAAATTTATATATTAAAAATCAAAAAGTCAAGTTAAATTTATTAAAAATAAATAAAGAAAGTTTTTTTTTCTACTTAGTAAATGTTCATTTTTTTAATTAATGATTTTTATACTAGGTATCAACCTGCATTCTAAAAAATCTTAACACGATTGCTATTAATTTATTGTTAAAGATTAATGAATATTAATTAAAATATTTTTCTAACTTTTTAAATTAATACAAAAAAATCATCATTTTTCTTCAAAATTTTATTTTACCTCAAAAATATTTTCAAGATCTGCCACTTTCAAACAGCATACTCCTTTTCCAATAATTTAAAACTTTTTAAAAAAATACCATGGTACCAAATTATTGTACTTCAACTTTTAGATTGTGGTGCGTGCCTCACGGCCTAACGGTCATAAGCTGATTTATAAGTGCATCTTTGAGTATGAGGGTTGAAGTTCGATTTTTTTCATTTTAAAAATTATAACCTTGTTCAAAAAAATAAAAAACTTTTAGATTGTGATTTCTTTCCATATTCGATGCTTCGACCTCTCATTGTATTTTTTTTATTTTGATTATATAATATAAAATAATTATTTTTTATTTTATTTTACTTACATACTATAAGATTCAAATTCAAACATTTTTATTTTCAACGAAAAAAAATAACTAAACTATTTAGATAGTTAATAACTCTAATTATATTTTAATTTGTCAATAAAAAAATCCACCTGTTCAAAAAATAATAATAAATAAAATAAAAATCCACCTGTAAGGCTCTGATTACTCTATCCCCTGCGTAAGAACCATGTAGTCTACACTGTGATCAAAGATCTGATGGACCCCACTAAGAATACAGAAATCAAATGGAAGTACCACTTTAACCGCTTTAGCACTCGAAACCGCCGAACTTGTACCTTACGAGACACAAACCCACGTGCGGTAATTCCCAGCGGAATTTACGGTTTACCCACACTGTCAAGCTACAATTGACTCCTTCTTCACGTTGTAACCCGACATGCCTATTTCCGTAAATTCACCTCCCCCGAGTTCCAGCAATCCGCTATAAATACTGACCCGCCACGGGCAATCCTGCTGAGCTTTCTCTCTTTATCCTGTTTCTCCTGAAATCAAACTTTCCGAAATCGGATCTTTGTAGACATGATCGTGTATCAGGATCTTCTTAGTGGTAAACAAATTCTCTCTCTCTCTCTCTCTCTCTCTCTCTCTCTTTCTCTTTTTTTTTTTCCCTTAATATTCTAGTAGTTTTGATTCGTCTTGTTGATTTAGGATTTTTTCTGGGTATTTTTTGTTTGGATGGAGAATTTTTCTGTGAATCATGTTTTATTGAAGTTAATTTGCATGTTGATATTCTTTTTTTTTTTTTTTTTTTTTTTTTTTAAATTTTGGTTTTGTTTTTGGGTTTGTGTTGGGTGAGAACATGAAATTTGCTTGGTTTTAAATTTGTGATATTTGATTTTTCATTTAATTTAATTTCCTGGAGCCTGATTTTTGTTTTCTGGGCAGGGGAAATTGAATTTTAGAAATGTTAAGCTCAGTGTTAATGGTTGTCTTTTATTTTTCATGAATGAATTTCAGGTGATGAGCTTCTCTCAGACTCATTCCCCTACAAAGAAATCGAGAATGGGATGCTGTGGGAAGTTGAAGGAAAGGTTAGATTTTCCAGAGTGGTTTTATGTTTGATGTTGTCTGTTTTCGTAGCTCTTTTTAATTCCAGCAATCTTTTTTTGCAATTATTCTGTCACTTTTTATTAACAAAAGATCAAAATCTTTCATGGTTTATCTAATGTGGATATGTGGTTGTGGCTTTTTGATACGAAGTCTTATCAATTTTCAATGGAAAGAAAAAAAAAAAATTTAATTTTGAATGATTTGCAGTGGGTTGTTCAAGGAGCAGTCGATGTAGACATTGGTGCGAATCCTTCTGCAGAAGGTGCTGATGAAGATGAAGGGGTTGATGACCAGGCTGTCAAAGTTGTTGATATTGTTGACACATTCAGGCTTCAGGCAAGGGAACATCTATTGTGATTGATGATAATTACGCCATAATTTTCTTTTGCTGATTGTATAAGACCGGGTTCTCTCTAATATGCAGGAGCAACCTGCTTTTGACAAAAAACAATTCATTACCTTCATGAAAAGGTACATCAAGAACCTGTCAGCCAAATTGGAGCCAGAGAAGCAAGAGTTGTTTAAGAAGAACATAGAGGGAGCTACTAAGTTTTTGCTTTCAAAGATCAGTGACCTTCAATTGTATGTTGTGCTTCTGTACCCCCATTCCATTCTCCTTCGAAAGCATACTATCCACTATTTGTTTTACTATTTTTAACCTTGTTTATTGTGTTTGTATCTTTCAGTTTTGTTGGTGAGAGCATGCACGATGATGGCAGCCTTGTCTTTGCATACTACAAGGAGGGTGCCACTGACCCAACATTCCTCTACTTTGCTTATGGCCTGAAGGAGGTCAAGTGTTAATGGAGCCTTTAGACAGCACTAGTCCAGCTCTTCCATAGCTGCACTCTCTGTAACTCTAGATTTACGAAGTTCAAGCTATTTAGTGTTTTTAAGGGCTTCTGACTTGGTACCTTGCCATTATGCTGTTACATGCTTGCTTGTTATGAGGATCATATATACTAAACTCGGTTGAGGGATAATAAAATATATTGTGTTGCAAAATTTTGGTCTTCTATACCTAATTTAGCTGTGTCCTTCGCCACTGGGCTTAGTAGTCTGACGTTCTCCTCTGCTCTTCGTCTGCATCATGTGCTACTAGTCTTCGTCTGATGCGGTGTTAAATCTCTGGGATACGAGAAATCCGATTGGCACCTTTCGGATTTTTTATTCTTTTGTTCTTTTCTCTGATATATTAATTCCTCCCAATTATTGTTTTGTCCTGTGGGCAAGTTTGGAGCACAGAACATGATACCTTCATGCCGAACACGAGATGGCACTGAAGCGAAGGCATATAATGAAAGGTGCAAAGTTGAGCTTTATTTAATGGTGCTGACTCTTTTATCTTCTGACTTAGGAGAAAATATGATTGTAGAAAAAGATTGTACAAATATTAACGAAAGATTGATTAAATTAGTATCTTGTTAATTTAAAACTTTCAATTTAGAGTGAAAGAAAGAAAAATTTAATGCATCCGATCCTTTGAGTCAAGTGATTTCCGATCACCCGATGCATTCTTCCACCTTTGGTAGGGTTCAACCCCGTCCCATGTAATATTGTTTAAAAAAAAAAAAAAATTTAATGCAAATGATATTTCGCATTACCATTTTTGTGTACTACACTAGTGGCATTGACTTGACAATTGACAAAGACGGTAAAATGGATTCGATCACGATTATCTCATAATTGAGTAGCGCACAATCTGACGCGACAGAACAGTTAATACAGCATCCAAAGTCAAAACCACTGAAATTGAAGAACCCAGAAAACCTCAAGGTAATTTCAAGTACTGTACAAAAAAGAAAAGAAAAGAAAAAACAACCAAAAGGGTACGGAGTCAGACATTTTGTTCAAACCCAAATCAATATAGAAATATCAAATCAATAATCAATTATCGAAACAAATGTTTTAAATTTCTTCTGAATATAAAACTAACAAAAATCCAAGAACCAACCGAATTCCACCAAAAAGGTCAAAAATATGCAAACGGCTAAGATAAATATAAAAGCAATTATATTTTATAATTTAAATTGTAAAAAAAAATTATTAAATAAAAGAATTCTTAATATTAAAGAATTCAATTTTTATTTAATAAGTAATATAATATAATTTAAAATAATCTAAATTGTATTACACTTTTTTAAAATACAAAATCTATATGATTTTTTTTTTTAACATGCAATATTTGTATAATGCTTCCATCTATATCTAAAACTTTGAAATCCACCACGTTTAGTGCATTGAATATGCCACTGAAAAAAATCTTAATTTACCGGGCAAAGGCAATATATAATAAGCAGGTTTGAAACAAAATAAATTTAATTGTAATAGTAAAAATACAAATTCATGAATTCGAGTAAGGTACATGCGTCAACCAATGTACCCGGCAATTGATACTACTTCACACAGTATGACAGTATCCGTAACAACAACATCGCAGTCTATGCATAGTAATTCAAGCTTGCTTTCTTCTTAGCCTGAACTTGAATGATACCTTCATTAAAATCCTCGTGGTTAACCTGGAAACAGAAAGAAAGCTGATAATTGGAAATTGCTCAAATATACAATCAGTAGCAACCATATATAATACAAAACAAATAAATGCTTAGTCTCAAACATCATAAATGCATACATCTATGCATTTGCACACATTTGCATGCACGAGTGCATGAGTAGATAGTAGTACCCATAATGCATATGTCTTCAATGTCATATTTCAAAATGTAATGTTATTGCCAACAGAATTTTAAGTAAACTTCGGATAAAGGAAGAGATATTTAACCTCCGTTGCATCACGGCGTAGGGCTAGCATGCCTGCCTCCACACAAACAGCTTTTAGTTGTGCTCCATTAAAATCATCCGTAGACCGAGCCAGTTCTTCAAAATTGACATCCGGGTGAACATTCATCTTCCTTGAGTGAATCTACAAAGTCAATATAAAAAGGGTCAGTAAATTCCCACAAGGAGCAATGCACAGGTTAGAGTGATCCTCAAAACATATGCATACCTGTAAGATTCGAGCCCTTGCTTCCTCAGTAGGATGTGGAAATTCAATTTTGCGATCCAATCGACCAGATCGCATGAGTGCAGGATCCAGGATATCAGCACGGTTAGTTGCTGCTATCACCTGCAATTTGTCCAAAGTAAATATGAGAAGTAATTCTAGCCAAAAGCTTAAAAAATACAAGATGTTTATTAAGTATTCTCATTTGAAGACTGTCATTTAAGAACACAGATCTGTAAAACCTGACATTTGAATTGCAAAAGGTGTAAAATTTCCTGAGGAGGAAGCTTTATTACAAAATTTTCACTAACCTTAATACGTTCATCACTGCTAAAACCATCAAGCTGATTGAGCAATTCCAACATTGTACGCTGCACCTCCCTATCTCCACTTACTTCACTGCAGTCAATGACAAAGGTTCAATTAATAAGCAATACTGACACAAGCCACAAAAGGTGACAATATACAGGCCACCCAATGAGATATGATGTACCTATCAAACCGCTTTGTTCCAATTGCATCAATTTCATCTATAAAAATAATGCAGGGAGATTTCTCTTTGGCAAGCTGAAAGGCATCACGAACAAGTTTTGCTCCATCTCCGATGAACATCTACATACATTACAAATTCAACTACTTAGCAAACTAATCAAGAAGGCACAAAAGTCAAAGAAACAGGCAGTATCTGTGATAATTTTGGCTGCTTTCATCTGTCTAATACCTAGCTACCAACTAGGAAGTAAGATGAGGCAATGCAAGTATGTTAATTGTTAACAATGTAACATGACATGCTCCATCAATCTGAAGGTTGTGGTTCATCTCTCACTTTTCTAGTTGTCTCAAACTATTGTGCAGATATTCATTAACTAAATTTGATTTACAAAACCAAAAGACCCTTATGATGATGGAGGGGAATAATTGCTCCATGCAAGAAAATCATATATAAGCAAAACCAAAACTTGAGCCACCCAGATAATAATCAACACAAAACATCTGTACGTATTTGATGAAAGATGAACATGATAAAGGACTTCATACCTGCACCAGTTGTGGTCCTGCCAGCTTAAGAAAGGTAGCATTTGTTTGTGCAGCACAAGCACGGGCCATCAATGTTTTCCCAGTCCCAGGAGGTCCATATAAAAGCACCCCCTTGGGCGGACGAATGCCCAACTTCTGAAACCTCTCTTTGTGTGTCATGGGCAACACAATGGCCTCAACTAGCTCTTGGATCTGATCAAATAATAAAAGTTAAAACAAGGGGGTTAAGCATCAGCATGAATGATTTGCAAGAGATGCTCCTAAAAAGCAACCAATGTCAAAAACTTGCCTGCTTCTCCAGCCCACCAATGTCATTGTAGTCCTCAGTTGGTTTCTCATCAACCTCCATTGCCTTAACCCGGGAATCATACTCTGATGGCAGGGTGTCCAATATCAGGTAGCTATCCTTATTGACACCAACCAAATCACCAGGTTTCAACTTATCAGGATCAACCAACCCAACCACAGGTAAAAAGATGGTCTGCAATGATTACAAATAACAAATGTTCATTTCACATATCCAAGATAATTTTGCAAACTCACAGATCTTTTACTTCATCTTCTAGGGAGCATTAACCTCTCGCAAATTCAAATGCACTAATCCTTAATATAATGAACTATTTTTATTTTTGAACCTTAGCCAACTCCAAAGACTATTAGTAACTATCTACTTACACTGCTATTGACAGATAAGAGAAACAGAAATATATACCTGACGGGTAGATGTTTTCAGTACAACACATTTACCCTTCCTCTGTGAGTCAAGATCAATATTAGCACCATCTTCCTCAGCTTCATCCTCCGGATTCATCTCCAAAATCTGAAAGAATCAAAAATTAAAAAATTTATAGCTCCTACTAAATTACTTATACACAAGAGACAACTCAACAAGAGAATCATTAATTCACCTCAACAATGTTGCCCACCAAGTAGGGCAACTGCTTGTTAAGCTTAATCTTTTCCTGATTCTCCTTTATCTTCTCCTTGTATGACTCAAGCTCAAGATTTGTCCTCTGCAACTCTTCCTTCAATCCATGAAATTATTTTAAAAAAAAATTCAGAAAAAATTCGGAAATTCCAATAAACAGTATATTCACCAAAAATCAAATCATCAACAACAGCTTTGATTGTACAGGTTTACGCACAAATCAAAGCAACCTAGAACCGAAATCCACACGAGCACATGAGAGAAACAACAGGACGTGATGACGGAAACGGAAAAGAAATACCCTAAGTGGCAATGGAAAATCAAATGGGAGAAAGACAGAGATCGGAAACCTTGAGGACGCGAATGTCGGTATCGAGAAGACGGGAAGCTCTTAGAATCTCGTCGGTGGTCTTGGAGGCGAGCTGATCGTCTTCGGAATCTTCCATCATAGGGGTCGCCATCTCTCCGATCGATCGCAGAAACTAGAAAGAATGAGGAACTGAGGGAAGTTTGACGGAGAAAGCGAACTTGTTCCCGAAGAAATTGGGAATGATTGCGCGGTTGGGCCTGATGGATACTGAAGCTTCAGTGGGCTTTAACTGGTGTTCTTATTAGGCCTTTTAGACCCCTTTTTTTTTGGGCCGCGTGATAAGATTCCCTAATTCAGAGTTCTAACGTTGACGTTGCGGCGTTTTTT